TACGCCGAGAAATAGAGACAGACATGAGAAGAATGAACAAGAACTGGAAAGAACTAGAAAAGAAGGCCCAGGACAGGGTGGGTTGGAGAAAGCTGGTCGGCGGCCTATGCTCCATTGGGAGTAACAGGCGAAAGTAAGTAAGTAAGTAAGTAACTCTCGCAAGTCCAGAAGGTTGCACTAAGAAGAACTTGTTAAAGAGTCTGTAGAATACCCTAAACACGTCGCCAATTTCGCTGATAGGTAAGCCATCTTCAATACAGAATTTATTCTGTGGTTAATTATTACTGCGTAGTCATCTAAAACGGAGACGAATAAGTTAGCAAAGCAGTGTCCGTTTTAAATGACTCCACGAAATTCGCTATCGGTAGTACTTAGAAAGATATGACAGATGCGACTGAAAAGCGTCTTTTGAAAAAGTTGGAAGAACTCTTGAAGAAAAATTCCATCCATAATCTAGCGTATGAACTCAAATCGAAGGGATTACAATTATCTTATACGTTAAACCTAAAATACATAAACCTAAGATCCCGATATGACCAATATTATCTGCAACCAAGTAGCCTTCCTATAAACTCGCCCGCTGGTTAAGTAGGTGCTGTTGGCTAATCCTCAAGAAGAACTGTCACCCTACAATCTGAAGGACAGTTTTGAATTTGCACAGAAGCGTGACACCATTCATGCTTTCGACAAATCCATGGTATAATTTGATGTCCTGTTTCTCTTAACAAAGATCTCTTTGGAAGAAACGGCAGATATCATGTGTGAATATCCTGAAATCCTGCCTTTGCCAATTCACGAATTAGAACAGACATGTTTCTGTGTACCAAAAAGAAATTTCAGTTCAGCAAGATGTTGTGCCGTCAACTTGGTGAAGTAGCCATGAGTAGCCCTCTTGGTCTAATTCTAGCAGATATATTTATGAGAAATATGTAATAGAGGAAGCACAAGCACGTCATCGATGGAACGACACTGCTGCAGATTTAGTGATCACACGTTTCTTGTCTGCAACAATCATAAGCATTATATAAAATTACTCAATCTGTTTAGCAAATAACACAAGAATATAAATTTTACTACGGAACATGAAGTAGACGGTAAATTCCATTTCTTAGTTATTGGAATAGCACGAACTTCATACTGCACATTACAAAGACAGATTCATCGCAAAACTAACTGCAGTGGAGTCTATCTGAATTATAACAGTTCCTTTTGGGGCACACCATCGAAATTGCTCAAGACTTCAGAATCGTTAGCTGGCAAAGAAACCCAGAGTTTATTCGGTATGCTGTAGCAAGAGCGATTAAAATCTGAAACCTGATTTATGTATCCAAAAAGAGACAATAACAAACTTTTTACCACCCTGGTAAGTCACTTTTTGTCATTGTTTCTATTTTCTATGTGATCTTTCCTTGCCAAAATCTTATTTCATGTACATCAAAACTATGCCTTCACTAATATATTTCCACTCACCTAATTCTCTTAATGTATGTAAACTCTTCAAATCCTTTTCAATTATTAATTTATCCATCTTATCAGTTGTTTGATTAAAGGAATTTTATGTAAATGTGAAGTTTAAATAAATCAATGACTTCTTTGTATTGATGACTGTTGTAATTTTGAATTCCAAATACAATACATTCGTTCGGGCTCATCTAATACTTCTTGATTAAATTGCGTTATTCCTGGGATTACTAGTTTATACTACAATTCAAATACTTCTGATCATCAAATTGGCGTCGCGATTGAGCCTGTGATGGAACGGTTGAATATAAATTCAGATTTTAATGCTTTTGGGGAGTACATGGAGAGGTTCGAAATCTGGGCTATGACCAAGGAAGATGATGAAGATTTTAATATTGTGGCCCATTTCCTTACATTCATCGGAAAAGAAGCATACAGCCTTATAAAGACTTCGACACTTCCAGACAAACCGATTTCACTCCCCTATGCAACTCTCAAGCAACTACTGTTGGATCATGTAAAGTATACAAATTCCGAATGCGGTAAGAGAGAAAAATTCGATAAAATGACTCGACAGATCAGAAATTCCACTACTTTACTAAGTTGTCTCAGTTCGATGCGTAATCAAAGTTATTCAGATAATACTTCATTGAGCTGTGAAACAGTCCATGAAGATGAGCACGAGTTTAGTAAATGCATGTTCTGTGGCAAGTTTCACCCATGTAATTCATGTGTATTTCGTAATTCTAAATGCTTTAGCTGTGGTGAAACTGGACACATTCAGTCAGTTTGTAATACCATGGTTCATTTCCCTGAAAGTAATGCTAAGATGGTTGCTTCTAATGATCAGTTATCTTTATCTAGAAGTGGTGTAACGTTATATAACAGTCCAGAGTTGAATGAAACCCAGAGTCATTGGGAGACGAAAATTCCCAACCAACCAACTTATCACATTTCTCGTGTTATTGTACCAGATGCGGTTTGTCATAATCAGTCACATATTTCTGATGAAATTGCTTACAAGCCTGAACATAAATGGCTGAATGAGTCGAATCATGATCAAAAACCGGACTCACTTTTGGTAGATGCTGAATTCCCTGATGATCCATTATTCTCTAATGAAACTTAATCAATTTGAGGAAAATATTTCAGAGAAATCGAATTCTGATATCATATCAAGTGTCAGTGGTCCTCACAATCAATTTATCTATAATGATATTTCTAACGAATGTGAAAAATATGTTCTTGATGAGTCGAATTCCTGTCGCATTTCTGATGTTATTGTGTCAGATGTTGGATACACTCATGAACAATGTTTTTCGAGTAGAATGCCTAGTCAGTGGTACGATGAGTCAGATGGGATAGCAAAATTTTTTGAAGCAACCAGAGAACCAGTTTGCCCAGAAGTGAAGTTTGCGCAGACAGAGAATCCAAATCAAGTCCAAGATTATCCTAATGAATATGAGGCAGATAAATGTTTTCTATTCGATTGTTTCGCAGATAAATCAAGCCTATTTGAATCTCATATGTTAATTACATATATCAATGCATATCTATCTGTGTATTCTAAAGTGAATAACAAAAAGAATATGTATCATGATTTTTATTCAAGTCAAAGTCACATGATGGAACACCTCAAATTATATATCAGTGTTTATCCCCAAATACTCACATAAAGTAGTCGATGCGTGAGATTTGAGATAATGCAAATTGGGAACGTCATATTGGCTAAAACATTGCGACGTAAGGACCCAACATTATTTCGTGGGGGAGGATATTGTTGGAAGCTCTATGATGCAAATTCTAAATATCAATGGTTTCACTACACAACCGACATGCTGATTTTATACAATTCCAGAACCCAGTTGAGTCTGTTCCAATTTCGGTTGTTAATTCTAATACTAATGAGTGCATTCTAGATAAAACAGAGTCTACATCCAATGCACTGCTGGACAGATGCAAGATGAACTCAAGAAGAAGACGAACAATCGATTACAGACACTTACACTGCAATTTGAGCTGTGGCGGATGTGATGTTTAAATAAATCAATGACTTCTTTATATTGATGACTGTTGTAATTTTGAATTCCAAATACAATACATTCGTTCGGGCTCATCTAATACTTCTTGATTAAATTGCGTTATTCCTGGGACTACTGGTTTATACTACAATTCAAATACTTCTGATCATCATAGTAAACACTGCTTCACCTCTAAAATTAGAACACAATTTATCTCATGTTTCTGAACCCTACTTAACTACTGCATCACCCAACCCTTATGCTCCTGTGGATTCTAACACCAGATGACCTCTGACTTATTCCTCTACATATGTCTGGTGTTATTATTGACAACCTCACTCATCCCAATTCTTTTCATTCATGTCAACGTCTAAATAAATGTAAACTTTCAACACATGTGGCTATAAGCATTTGATGGGAAACCACGAAATATTTTGAATTCATATCACTCTGCATTCATGTCTGTCTTGGTTTAATTTAAGTTGAAATCGGGATTAAGGTCATTTTAATGATGTGGAGAAATGATTTCCCGGCTTGGTGTCAAAAAAGTGTACAGGTGAAATTAAATTTGTGTAACTGGGAGACTGTGCTTGGCGAAGTGACTAAGAGTATAGTTATGGGGCCAGTGTTGTTCCTCCGTTTTATAAATAACCTCCCTGTCCTTACATCGTCGGTTATTTTATGTTGCTGATGACGCCAAGAAGTGTGGAAAGATAAAATATGAAGATTGTTCGGAGCTTCAAAATGACCTACAGAAATGATCTGGATGATCCAAAATTTCGGCAGTTGCCGACAAGTACAGATGAATATCATTGTGCTACCTGTTTTTCAGACATACAGTGACTTGAGAGTCATCGTTAGACAAGACTTTAAAACTACTGCATACTGCTGTGGAAAAGTTACGAAAGGTCCGGAACTCCATAGCCAATGTGTAGAACCTTTAGCCAAGTCGATGATAAAACCTCTTTGAGTTCGTGTACAGTGTTTGTGTGTCCCAAACTAGAATACTGCATGTAAGCGGCTAGCTGCTGCCTAAAAAAGACTGTGATTTTTCGGAAGAGGTCCTGAGGGCAGCATATAAGTTGGTTCTTGTAATAGCGAGGCTTATGTATGATGTTCAACTAGCTATACTAGACCTAATCCATAAAGATGAACAGAGGTTACTTGATTACAGATTACCCAGTGATAAAGTTACATCTGATATGACTCCACTAATTTTGTATTCCTAGAACATATTACCTGTCATCTGGTTATCGACTTTCAAATCGTTTCATCAACGAATGAAACTCATTACCTTAACATATGACTGGAGCTCCATCTGTCTACACTTTCAAAAAGGCTAGATTATCTGAGTAACTACTATTGTCAGGACAATTACAAGTTGCCGAACCTCATATCGTTTTCATGCTGAGATTGAAACTAAAATTTATTTTAATATGCTATTATTGTATAGTACGAAACGGCGCAATGTTCAGAAGTTTTTTCCGACGTCTGGGCGTGGCTGTGTCGGGTTTGGTAATGAGTTCTGTCATGCCAGTAGAACGTGGGACTTCTCACTCTACATCTTATAGAATGTTCCTCAGTGAGTTTCTTACGTACATTAAGATGCACTCAACGAAATTTTCCTCGAAGTACGCAGTACCAGAGTATTTCGATGTAAAGAAATTATGACCATTTAATTCTCACCGAAATTATTGTCAACGTTTATTTTCCACTGACTTCAGTTAGAATATGCTTACTCACATTCCTCCAACACTGATTACCGACGTATAGTGATGCTGAGTGACTACACCGTTACCTACTGTCCATACTGGTATTTGTCGATTTCTGCGTAGCAGACCATCTGAAACGTATACTAAGACTAAGGTACTTTCAGGCTATAACTTTCTTCTGGAAAAAAAAACTAAGCTTGGCACGTGAACATTATGAAGCTAAGGATTGATCTGATAGTCATTTGAGAATCATAGTGATGTTAAAAAGCAGGTTTTTCCGTAGCTTTGCTATCGAAGACAGTAAACCCGCAAACACTCAAATGCATCTTTCTGGCCAGAAACTTCTGATTTTGAGTATATGATCCCTAGAACATTAAATAGTTATCGTGCAGTAGCGAAATTGTGGTTTTGATTCAGTTGATCGAATCGAGGTTCGATGCATAAAACTTAACAAAAGCTTTTTTAAGATAATCTCATGCAGAGAGTCATTAAACGTGCAGGGTTAGTATTTTTCATACTATATAATTCATTTGAAATACAGCCAAACTATCCTTGTTTTCAAAATAATCCATCTAGTTTGGCGAGGAATGTAAATGAAAACTTTGGTAGGATTCCCATTAGCTTTCACTTTCTGTGCTCTGTTTAATAATATTTAAAGTCACTGATTGTAGCACATTCAATTTATCATAATGCATCGTATTGACCTTCTTTTGATTTCCAACAGTTGTTAGATACTTGTTATTTTACACACAAATAATATATTCTCTGAATAACTAGGTTTTCGATGGCCAAACGTTCTAAAAGTTGGTGACATATATTAACACAGCACAAGTAAATGTGTCGTCGTTTATTGGTCTTCACATGGCACAAATGAACGGAAGTGTATGGTAGTATAATATGGTTATAGATGTTAAGCAGTCTTTCATGATTTTGGTGACTTATTAACTCATCAACCACTTCCCACTATGGAGTTTTAGTCTGGTTAGTTAAAAGCTTAGCTACTATCATCAATACTAAATAGGGTTCTGATTTTTAATGATCATTCGCTTGGGAAGATTAGAATTACTTTATATGATGTTTTTCCCTTCTCTAGCTCATGGCGAGTCTCCTATTTCATGTTTTCATGATGTCCCATTGTTATCGGATACAAATAACTATTACAATATGATAGTTGAGATACCTCGCTGGACAAATGCGAAAATGGAAATTTGCAAAGAAGAACTTATGAATCCTATCAAACAAGATGTCAAAAATAATAAACTGCGCTATGTAAATAATGTATTTCCACATAAAGGTTATATCTGGAATTATGGTGCCCTACCTCAAACATGGGAAGATCCAAACCATGTAGATGAAAATACTAAGGCTAAAGGGGATAACGATCCTATTGATGTGTGTGAAATAGGTTCGAAAGTATGGCCTTCCGGTTCAATAATACCTGTCAAAGTATTAGGCATATTGGCAATGATAGATGAAGGTTAGTTTATCATCGTTCCCCTTGACTTGCATCACTAAATGTTTCCTTTTATTATTTATAAAGACTTAAGTTCTTAAACCGTGTAAGTAAGTTTCAGCACAGAGAGATTATTTTCGCACTGGTACTGCATGAGCTTCTCCCCCTCCTTTACTGGTACTATTTTTTCTTACTGTTTTCAAATCTTTCGCTTAACAACCCTGGTATAAAAAATAAATATTCTGGTCTTCTAAAACTACATTAAAAACTACCATTAAAGCTTCTAACATTAAATTAAACCGCATGATATTTCACTGATAAAAGCACACTGCTCGAATAATAATTACGCTTACAGAAATATCCAAATATGTAATGGTTTTTCCCATTTATTTCAATAAACATTGTTACAAGGAGTCACCAAATTTATATGCATCACACTTCGTCATTCGATTTATTTGAGTCCTGGAATGTTAATTTAGGTCACTTATTTGAAGTAATTTATGTGACCTAAACTAACATGTGTAACATTAGTGTAGCATTGTACCTGTTTGAAGCTTAAGCGACAATTTTCAAACTGACGTTTAGACGTAGTAATAACGGCGGATCTGAAAATGAAGTACAAGTGTGGTCAGATTCCAACAATGCTTCCATCTACGTTTGTCAAGTTGAGTAGAAAGCTTATTTATTTATTTGAACAAATAAATATTGGTACAAAGGGGCACCGAATACATGTGCGCAGCACAAGTCATTTGATTTATGTGTGTGTCCTATAGTACTGCCCGAGTGCCCAGACCAAAGCAGGTGGTTTTCTTAGGGGGGCCACACTCGGAGCCTTTGACCTAAAGGTCTGATCCACAAGGCAGTAGAGCATCGTAATCCCATTGCAATTCCATGATAGCCGGTGACCAACAATTGGTTCATTCGCCATTTGTTCCTTCAGGATACTGGAGCCCATGTGCACCACTGGTTTGAAACAGGGTTTTCCAACTCCCCTAGATGGACTTTCCGTGTCCACCCAACCTAGTTAAAGCTCCGAACATTCGCTTTTCGTCCTCTCAATTTCGTAAACGACAGCGATGCCGCTAGAAGGCAGTGAGTAGGACTTCTCTGTCAGAGGCTGTATACGCGTGGCCATGTAAGAGCATTTTGAGAGGGAAAACTGACTCTCCACACCCCCGGTCGTATCAGGGCATTTGGGAGCAGAAAGCTAGGAATCCACAAAAACAGCAGTGTTTACTCGCACTTCATCGTGCTTCGGTGCAGTTCTATTTAGAAGAAAGATAAGCTTGTTAAAGATTTGCGACTTGAGTATATTTAAATGTAGTCTATAGACAATTGAGGTATTGCTTTTTATAACTAATACAGTCACATCTATGAAATTATCGCCACCCTGAAACAAATCTCTAACTTTCCTTAAGTATGTAGTTGCCACCATTAATTTATCTTAATGTTAACACCTCTTAATGACCTAACTTTATTATTTGCAGGTGAAACTGACTGGAAAGTTATAGTTATAAATCCAGACGATCCAATGGCTGATAAACTAAATGGTTAGTACAAATTTACCTAAAATTTTATTCTGTAAAAGACATTCATGATGTGGATACTCATATGCCGGGACTTCTGAAGGTTAGTTGTCATGTAGTTTTTTTCTGTAAATAATTCATGATGAGTTGGCCGCAAACATGAATAGTTTCACACTCCAAGTACTGTCATAATAAGTAGAAAATCGAATGTTATCTGAAAGGTTGATTTAATGAATGTTTTTGACTCTGAATATCATAGCCTGCCGTGCTATATAAATTTTATTCATGATTGTTTGTGTTATCTTAGCCCATAAGGATAGTCTGTTTATTGGTCAGTTGGACCATTTTTTAATATTTTAGTAGCATGATCTTCGCCATTTATCACTTGTTTTCCGCGGTAATTGGTTAAGCCCACATTTTTCTGTTTCTCTTGTAGGCTACACGAGACTGGTTTAAGTACTACAAAGTTCCTACAGGAAAGCCCGAAAACACATTTGCCTTCAATGGAGAGTTCAAGAACAAAGTAAACTTGCCATTGGTCTTCTTATTTTACTACAATGTTTATTTACACTATAATTTTCTTTTATAATTCATATCAGTTTGCATGACGGACGTAATCGCAACCACCCGTTGGATTCACTTTTATATCTGTTGTCGGAACTGTTGATAGTAAACAAGTCACGGGAACCAAGTAAAAGTTCATGTACCCAATCTTAAACCATACTTTTTTGTGTTAATATTAGTCACACTATCTGTCTATTTGCAACGATGTAGATATAATCATGCTTGTACATGCGACCCAATTGTTGACGGTTGAATTTTTCAGCTAAAAGATCATTGTCACACATCATTTTAACGTTAAATTCTACTTTTCCCAAACCTCTCCTTCAGAAGACTTCAGAACTTTATTAGAATCAATAAACTACCTTCATTTTTGTTAAAATTGATCTGAATAAAACAGTGAAAACACTGATCTTTTCAGTTAAGCGAAGTATTCTTCAAACTGTCCATAAAAATTTAATTAACTTGTCACTTTTTTAGAGCGCCGATTTTGATCACGTGAATAACCGAGTATTATTTCAAGACAATTATTTTTTTCAGGTAGTAATAAACATTCGGTTATAACTTGTGACCGCCTGGATGCCCTGTTAATGTATAACGTGGTAATACCGCCAATTAGAGTGCAGTAATTTATCGATCGGACCAATGACATACGAAACCCGTACGAGTAGTCTAGAGTACTTGTCGATCCTGTTTCCTGCCTAGCCCAGCCAGTTAAGTCCAGACACCAATCTCAGCCTCTGCGGTGTGAATCAATCATTCCAAACATTCTGAGTTTATATAACATTCAATCAGACCACATCGTACCATAGAAATAGAAAATAACATTTGTACAAGATCCATCCAAAAGTGGCTGTGAATAAGGGAGATAGTAATTAATAGACTGGGTATAACTCAAGAACGGTAAGTCATATAATAATAGTTCATAGGTCAAAATAAAGCCTATAATAAGAGGGACATGAATATGAATAGCCTAGTTAGTTAACAATTATGCAATAAAAATGTATGCACAGTATGGGTTCATAAATAAATCCCAAAGTTACCATTCATTATCCTTATCGGGGCATAACACGCTTTATGAGAGATGGGTTAAATGGATTCTCCGAAAACCAGACTGCTGAACTTATCACTACATAAAATTTTAAGCGTTATAAATTTAATAACCATGCGACTTATTTTGCAAATCGTATTTTTCAAACAAACTTACATGTATGTGATTTCTGGAAAACATCTGATTCAGCTTAAATATTCATCGGAATACTTTTTACATGCGTATATTCCAGACCAAAGTTTATGATATTTTCAGGATAAACCATAATATTGTAGTTTTTGTATTTATGTATGATGGGATAATCATTCATCTGGTAATCCTAAGCTTTCGTGATAACGTTGCATAATTAGTTAAGGTAGTTTTAAATTAAAAGGTTCTGATTTTCTATATTTGGAAAATGATTCATCACCATTGTTCTATTCTTAATAAAACACTAATATTAACGTCTGATGTCAGTCAGTCAGTCAGTCACAACGTAGAACTTCGTACGTACGTACATCAGTTCGAGTTGCCATACCACATTAGCACAGAGATGCAGTTGTCGATTCAAATCCCATAGTGGTAGAAGTAGTAGGAGTATAATCAGAAATCCAAAAGATTAGGGTTTGAAGAAATTATTGAAGGAGTATAGTACAGTGAAATAAATTTGGAAAGAGAAAAATATAAAGACATGAGGAATTCAGAAGATTAGAATTTGGTAGAACACAAAGAGTGGATGCATCTTCGCCATTGCAAACGATTTTGAGCCATGTCATTCAAGGTCTCTAACCATCGGTTGCTGTCATCTCGCGAATCCCAACCTGGTAGTCTACACCTACCAACATGGTCCAGTACACTTGTCAGCGACTTCATTGATTTGTGCCACGTTTTGGTCTGGCCACCCCTAGCTTTCTTCCAACCTACTCCTACACCATGAAACATTGCACGTCGGGGCAGTCGGTGGTTGGGCATACGTAACACATGTCCCAGCCATCTCAACTGATGAAGTTTCACTACTTCATCAGTCGATTTGCCATCCCTACCTAGTACTCGTTTCCTAACAACTGCATTACTTACCCGGTGGTCCCAGGATATACGAGCAATGCTTCGAAGACACCTATGATCGAACACTAGTAGCCTGTGAATATCCTCTACTCTTATTGGCCATGTTTCACTGCCATAAAGTAGGACGGAGCGAACTGCTGCACAGTAAACCCGTCCTTTGGTTGCTAGACGGATATCTCGCCTACGCCATAAATGACGCAAGTTGGCAAAAGCTAGACGAGCCTTCTGTATCCGTGCTGAGATTTCGTCACATACCAGACCACAAGGGCTGATGAGACTCCCAAGATAAGTGAAGTGGCCTACACGCTCAACTACTTCACTCCCTATCATTAGTTCAGGTGTCGATGCAACAATAAGAGTATGAATGAGTATCACGTCAAACATATAATTAACATCATTTGAATAGCCTGTATTAGTGATAGATATCGGTCGATCACTTATAGTAGTTGGATTTGGAATAGCGTATCTAAATTATGTTCCATAGTAAGTGAAAATATACATTTTTTTAAACTGCACTACTGTTGAATCTTACATTAATTATTAAGCAGGTTAACTAGATTCTCAGCTTGACTGTTTTAAATAGATGTATGAGATAACATGAGTGTAGTTATAAGAATAACAAATTGTTACAATATTAGAAAAATTACTGTATTTGTCGAAAGTAGGCTCTTCATTGAAAGTTCAACGAACTACGTTTTTGGTTGGTCGTAGACGCAAAAGGATGGACCGTTAGCCGACCCAATTTCAAACTTTCAAAAATTGTATTTCTCCTTTCGATGCTTGTTTTTATTAATAAGTGCCCCTAGGATGGTCGCTCGTATTAATGCTTGCGCTTTTAATAGTCACCCTTATTATCGTGAACCCGTTGAGATAATTTGAATCCATGCTATGCTGTTGTAAGGATAATAATAATGAAATTAAGTTCTTGCTCATGACTGACTAACCAGAAGCCAATAAACCACAACACATCTTTACTAATTGACAATAATAAAGTTATTAACATATATTCTAGATTCTTTTATTGTAGAATGAATGATGATAGTAATCTGATTTATTTTTCATAGTTTTTGTGAATTTACTGCCTTTCGCTTATTTACCTCATTCTGTTTTATTGCCTCTTTCTGTATGTTCAAGGAATTCGCCACAAAAATTATCTCCCAAACACATGAACAGTGGCAGAAACTGATATCTACCAAAGTTGAAGCTGGTTCTATCATACGGTTAGTTAATTTGGCTTTATTATCTTGACTTGGACTAAACCAACTTTCTCAAGCTTGATTCCTGTAACATTTTGCACTAAGACCATAATAAGAGGATGTTACATCTTTTAAAAAACCGGACTCATAATCCCAATCACTATGTATGTTTTTATGATTACAGCCAAAACTACTTTATATTGCTAAAAACTAGTATCTTCTTGTTGATATTATGAACTGCTATTAATTGATCTGTATTAGCATATGTGTATTCTGAGAGTCCCAAATAAGATAAAACGGTTGTCTCACACCCCACCGTTAACCACAATTCAAGTATTTGTAACGTCTAAACTATGGGATGGCTTAAAAATAGTCTCCAGTTATTTTACGGACACTGTTATCGATGACAAAGATTTGGGAGTTCATTTTTAGATGTTTTTGTCTTATAGTTTCTAAATCACAAAATTTTACATCATAACTTTTAGTTACCTAATGAATTTTTTGCAGAGTTCTCAGTCAAGTCTGTTAGTTAATAATCCCAACATAACACATAAACTTTGAATGTTTGTATCGCAGACCAGATTTCACGTCGCTTCTGTATTTACTTGGAACTGTCCCATCGTGTAAACACAGGCGAATCGAACTTCGAATTTCACATGTTGGTTTCTACCTCACTAAATATGTAGAGTTATTCTTGCATGGTCACTATCTGATGATCCATACCCTTTAATACCTATTTAGTAAATTAATCTATTTCGAATTCGAAATTGTGCAGATGGTAAACAGCTTTTCCCCATATGATTTTTTACCAGTACATCATTGGACCTTTCTCAGATTACTTATTTCTTCCCATTCGCAAGTTTTTGGACATACTCAACTTTTGAGATACGTCCAACTAAAGTCTATATTCTTGGTAGATTTGTGCGTAAGTATATGCACGAAAAATAAAATCTCGTCCATTTTCTTAGATAATAGACAATGCTTTTATGAATTTAATAATTAGAGCAAATGTTACTGTGAAAGGAAGTCCCTACATGGTATCAAAAGAAGATTTTCTCGACGCTTTGCAGAAGCACGACGCTTTTACACGCGGAAGTGAACCAACGGATAAAGCGAGTAAGTTTTTGTAGTTTTTTCCATGAACGTTTGCTTGCTAAATGTTTTTCAAAAGATCTCTCAAGATACACTACAGTACTGTCTAGTTACCTGGATATGTAAGTGTTACTGCTTGGTAGTCACATGATTGTTTGATGCCATTTTCAACCAAGTTTTGGATTTAATTATCTTTGATAGTTAAAACCAAGTATCTTTTATTCATTCATAATCTATTTCATATCTCCAATGCTAAAAAAGATTACCAGTGGTATGGCTTAATACATAATTATTGTTCCCTACGTAGTTAATGTGTAAATTCACGTAATGTTGTAGTCTTCAGTGAATACTCTTCAATAAATACTGAAGTCTTCACCCACATGAAAGGTTATTAGATAAACTCTAACCAATGTTGCCAATAAGTTTGAGATGAAGCTGGATTACATGCTAGCTGTCGGTATATTGTAAAGTGTAGATTAGAATAATCTCCCAACATAGGACCTGGTACAAATGTGTATTAATCCAAGTTACCGTGATTTGTCTCAATACAACTAAAGAACAAACTACTGAAGAAAGCGTAAAGAAATTAATTATACCCAAACAAGTGTAAAATTAAAGACAGAGAAGGTAGTTCAGAAGTGACAAATAAAATCGCAGAATTAAAAATATGGAATTCTACTAATCTTGAAATTCAAAATAAAATAAAAATGAGTGCATTTGTTTTACTCCAATCGGTTTTGAACCATATAATCTTAAGTCTATATTCCTGATTAATGACTATTTTATGGACTCTGTGTATTTAAAAATAGTCAGTGATTTTATAAACTAATACTTTGTCTTGATCTGGCCCCCCATAGCCCTTCACTAATATTCTAATGCTAGTCGGAATAACACATTAGGGTAGATGGAGACCACGCTAAAATTGTCGAAATATCATAAGATATCTGAATAGTATAAAGATTTGCATTGTAGATATAACTAAAGACAATTCATCGAAAAATATTTCCTTTTCTATGATTTATTAAACTTGTATAGTCTTATAGTTAATTAGTCTATCCAAGTTTATAATAAAATAGATCAGTATTGCATCCTTTAGAGTAGTGACTGAAACTGTTTTCAAGTATCAAATAATTACGGATGGAAAATAATCGTCGGCTTGAAGAATACTAAGAAACAGTAACTACAGAGTAATTTCGCATCATAAATTGTTTGAAATTTCAAGTATGAAGCATAGGTTACGTAATGATATAACGGTTGATGAAAAACTTTTAAGAACGTAGATAGCAGATAACTGTTCATGTCACAAATGTGAAAAGCTGAACAAATAAGTGTAATAACAATTCATTAGTAATGTTTAAGAAATAGTACAATAATAATAACAGGATTATTAACTATTATAAATAGGGAGGTCTAAGTAGATCTAACTTGTTGCTTTTGTGCATAGAGATTAGACTGTAGTTGGTAGATTTCAAAACCCTCTATGGTACATACGTTTCTGATTTTAATTGCACTTGAACTAGCTCGTTTCACTGTATGAATAACTCTGAAGGAGGATCTTAGTGAAGCATCATGACAATATTTGTGGGATGTTCGGGAATTAAACTATTGGTTTATTCTCGTAATCCGGTTGATAATCATGTGGGGTATTGCTCAGAGGTTCATTTAAAGTTACTTTGATTGTGCTGTCATTATAACTTCCACAAAAGCAAGTGAACTTGTAAATATATGTTGAAGTGGCTCTAAGGCTAAGCTTGACTTTCACACGACTACGAATCAAAGAACAACTAGAATAGACAACGCAAAGTTCAGTGGAGTAGAGTCTTTTCAGAGATCTCTGAATCTTTGTCACAGTCTTTCGTTTAAATTGAGTGTTCATAAAAAGGATCTTCTTTGGTTCTCTAAATATTCACGTTGTTATTCCGACACTAGATTCTTATCAATGAACCTAAGTAGACATCTGAATTTAATCAAGTTCTATGGCAACCGGATCGCCAGTACCGATTCGTTTAGCTCTCCTAGATAAATAGTGGACCATCTTTGTCTTCTGTTTCAATGTGACCCAGCTTTTGACATTCTTGTACTGCGTATTCTTGACTGGATTTTTATATGTTGATCTACGTATAGCACCATCAGGTTTCTTTTTCAATAGAAAATCCAAGAATTGGATTCTATTGTAAACTTAACTGATTGATGACAGCTATTAAACTATCAACTGTTGATCTATGTATAGCTTTGTCTAACATGACCACAAGAAAGTCAGGTGGAAGTGCTGTGAGTAATGACTTCCATCTCTACGCCATCGGTTTGTCTGTAAAACGAATCACCACATTTAAACTAAACATTGAAAGTCCATCGAAGTAATTCCTGCGGGTAATATTTTGGAATACTGGTAACAAAGTTGTTGTTTCCAGTATTCTCATTTCCTTTTCGAATTTCAAAGTAACTAGTATTCATTGATTTCATTTTACTTACTAGTTTTAGTCATCTGAATAATTTTGTTTTCAGTCCCTTACTTTCAAATATAATGATTTTGTACAGGCGTTGATAGTAGTATAAATGAGTTTATTGTATTACTCTCTTAAATTTTAGTTGATGAATGGCATTTTTGCAACCCGAATATTTAATTTTGCTTCAATGGTCGACTAGTATAATCATCGTTGTGAACTAATCATGGTCCACTCCACAAAAGATAATTGCAAATCAAAATCTACTCATCTTATAGTATTTAATAAAAAAGACTCAGCGTATAACTTTTATTTACCTTTTTTGGTTGTAACCCTAAATATTCGTCTGTATAGGTCTATTGATGTTTTTTTTTTAAAATTAGTTCAGTTAAAGTTATACAAATATACGTGTATGTTTGGAAATGAATTCTTCTTCCTTTTTTCCCCCTTAAACAATTGAAGTATATAGGCGTAGCCTAATTGACTAAATTGAATTTTATATCTCTAGTTATTGTGTTTCCCCACTACTCACTATTGTTGTTTAATTTGATTAATATATTGAAGAATGCAAAATTTATCAAGCATTATCTTATTTCAAAATTAATTTTGTAACTTACTTCCCTGAGATAAAGAATGGGTGTGTTAAAGTTTATATTATAATTTTTCTTCAAATTAATAAGTAATTCATGTAATTTTTGAGTTAATATGACAAAAAAAGTTGAGTTTGTTCACTTAAGTAAACTGTAAAAGTCAAGGACTAGCTATTATAATCACTACGATAGAAGAGTAGTTGGTTCAATCAAAATTTCATTGTATAAAGCAGGCTCTATATTTTAATTAATTTGAATACCTAGATGTTAATTTCACTATCTCTAAGGATATTTAGTGTGGATGCGGAAAACAGTTTAAAACAATCTCGAGTAAGCCATAAACCTAGATTCTCAACATTCTGGTATTAGTTCGGAGAACTATTCTTATGATGAAACGGTGCTACTGATTAGTAGAGGCGTTAATCTTGAGGCAAGATAATGAAAAAAAGTCTGAATTATTGATCATGTAGGACAGTATTCAACTGTATTACTATCCAATTATTATTGCCCACTTTTCTAACTCATCTGATCTCACTACATGTAAACAATTAATTTGGTCTAGCCAAACTATGTGTATTCGAATAGACTCAACACATCATTTATCTGACATATTGGATAATTTTCAAAGTCGGGATTTTTCTCAAATGGAATAAAATAGATACCTTTTTAAAGAAAATTTTTGGACATATTCTTAACTCAATCTTTTAGTAGTAAACAATTCTCCTGTACACGTTTCCACGGTGCTGTCAATATAGTTTGCTCATAAATGTTGTCACCTGTAATTGCAGCTGTTCGATGATTTTATTTTCTATCTCTTAAGTGTACTAATTAGTTTAGTATTTGAACATGTCTCTACATGTTGATGTACACTAATACTCGTTAGGATCGACTGAGGATTCAAACAATATTAGCTGGAAAATGATAAGAGTTATTAGTTTTCCCAAATTGGACAATAGATTATCTGTTAGCCTGATTGAATCGTGGTATCCTTTTTCACTCAGTTGATTTACAGTACACTATATGTAAAGCTATTTCTCGTCTATATTCTACCCCAACTGATGAAATAAAACTCAATGGAATTTGTAAGCGACTGTTCTTCAAGTTTACAGTCTTAGAAGTTATCTGGTCCAATTTAGTATATCGAAACATTGTTTGTTAGCAATTAAAGTTGAAATGTAAAGTAAATAAAAGATGGTTGTGTCGGAATTTCTAAGTGGACAAATAATTTGTGAACGAAATATACAAGGTTGTCAGTTCATCAAATCAGTTTTGTAATGGGCTTTGTAGTTCATGAGAAACATCTCCAGATTGACAATGACTTATCGTATAAAATTTCGTTTGCTTATTTCCAAAAGAGTTTACCTCTACGCTTAACAGCCATTAATATTGGACGTTCTTTTGATCTTTCCAAAGTATACTGTCCATGAAGACTCCTACACAAGATGTAACTTCATTTTCACATAAGCAAGTCAGGTAAATAAACTCTGAGTTGCTTAAAATAAATACAACATGAGTTTTATAGTTATACAATCGATCGATATATTTGGCAAAATGTTGTAATACCATTAAGATTAATAGAATTATTTGAGTGAGTGGGTGTACCACACTTCATTTACTTATCCATTACTTTTATAGGTTAATGTTATTACAACCATTACTTTTGTCGATAGTTCAGAATTTCTTTATACTACAATATATAGCGAAGGAATTCTTTTCATTTTCAAAGCTATTCATTTGTATATGTGTGAAAGGTTATAGGCCAGTCATTAATTATTTATATTTCAGATTTACACTAAACATAAACAATCAAAGACACATTTTCTCACTATTTTCAATAACAATTACACAAAGATACTAACATACAGACTTACATTCTCCACATTTTTTTCACATTTAATCATCTTGACCTTACTGTAAACAAAATAAGCATGACTGAACAAGCCTTTAGTGTGATTTTGTTTTTTCTATACCTGATATATTTTTCGATAGTGTTGATTTCGTTTATATTACTACTGAAGAGGTCCAGACTAGACTGACGGACGAAACGTTGGAACCATGTAAATTTCGATTGCTAAAACTATTCAAATGTAATTTTTACATGTAATGTCTTTTGCATACTCGGGTATAGCTTCTACCAAACTATCTGTTCAAAATTTGACGAATTTTCGTACAAAGTAATGTTTGGTAACTAAGAAGAACCAACTTATTAATGCCCATCAGCTTCGAAATATTTACTTTTTTGTATATATCTATTATAATAAGATATATTCTGAGCAGAAATTTTTTTTGTGAAATTATTTACTGATGTCAGTCAGTCTAAATTATAACTTGATACGATTAGTTCCTTTGATAAATGTGGATAATGTAATTTTCTGAAACCTTATTATATGACACGTTATTCACTTTTCAGATCAATAAAACACCCTCTTTATTTGACTTTCTGATTTTCTTCAAATTTTAAATCGAATAATTTTGTATCAGGATGAATTCGACAGGTTATAACTATTTTAGAATCCAAAATTAGCATGTAGTTACAATGAATACTTGCTTGAATGAATACTTTATAACACACCTTACAAAAGATTCAGATTTAATTAATACGCTTACAGTTTAACCGATAAGTAATTATTTTCACACACTTCAAACAGGTCCGTACGTCATACAATATATTCAAAATTAATTAGTTTCAGTAAAATAACATCTCTCGTACTTATAACACCAGATCTAACCTTCTGCATACCGATTTCAGGTAGGAATTCTTGAGAAGAAAAGAAATCAAACCATGAAGAGTTTGGTATACACCATTAGTGTTAGCTCTTTAGAATTAAATTACCACAGTAGTCGAAAATATAGCTTAGTTTACAAGCTTGGTTTTATTAGTTAATCAAAGATTTTGTGGTATTTTTACGAACTAATGATTCCTTTGTGCTTTTCCGCACGCTGATTACGAATTACAAGTATAATAAGTTTATTTGTACTCGTACACTTTTACCTGCCTCTAATTGCACCATTTCGGGAATTCTTAGAATAATAATTTGAATACTTCTAATGATTATAGATTTCTAGTTATCTTTCATCTCAGTTTATCATTACCAACTCTTAATCCTAGTTCGCTACACATGACAAATATGTTTGTTTCATTTATTGAAGAATAATTAGCCTGTTAAGTCTGTTTTATGTTCTTTATCCTTATTTACTTCCCCTCGATTCTTTTTTGTATTGTTTTATACTACTTATCGATATTCAGTAAATAATCGTATTCCTAGCAATTTCTAAGCTTACCTTGTAACGCAAGTATGTGTGATATTTACATACGTTTATAACGTATTTTATTTATCATTATAACTACTTAATCTCAATGATTGTAGCAGTTATTCGCAATTTCGTGCATTCCTTTAACCCTTGTTTAAAGGCAACAATTTTCATACTGCTTACTCGTAGTTTGACTTTTACTTGGTGATAAACCGTTTTCAAGTTTAGACCTAGCTAACGACTGTCGTTCTTGCACTACCCAAGCCCTTTTATTTCAGACAAAAGGACACGGCAAACGCCAAAGACATTTCACAAGCTGAGATTTGTAACCAATTTTTGTATATTCAATAAAAAACCTTTATTTTAGACAAATCGTTGCTTTGGGAACTTTGATTTTGCGCGTATCGCGATTGAATGATTTGAACGATTCGATAAACTTAACATAGTCATTGAATACTTATCTTGAAATTCAGTAAGAAAAGTTCCCGAAACATAGTTAGCTATCTTTATATGTCATAATGCACTATATATAGGTCATAAGTGCATATATTACTAACAGAAACAGCTTACTAAATCTTCCTAAAATACATTTAACTACATCTTAGTTCAATCAAGCTAACCAGTTCAAATTAAATGTCACCTGACTGGAGATAAATTTCGGTATAAAGATTGGGATTCAGAAAATAGACAAATAAGCTAATGAACACTATCGCTCATAAATAACGATTTTAAATTCTCTTGTAGTAAAACGAAATTTCTGAATTCTTGTGGGATTCTATGTCTATCCTTATATTATTGGTTACCTGTAATCATCTCTCGTTTTTGATATTTCATGTATCCTTATGGGCGAATAATCGCCCATCAATAGGTCCCGGAAGTTACCCGTACTTATATCTTCATAACGATATAACAGATTATTTATCGTACAACTGGCGAGCAGTTGCTAATGATATTATGCGGAAAGGACAACAGGTCCATCCTTGCATGCGACTCACCGATCCCAAATGCGAAATTAAAACCCAGAATCCTCGGTCTCTAGGTCACTCATCCGATATTCATCGGTGTTCATGACTAATTTGCACCAGTCCATGGCCATCTAGTGCTTTCAACATTTCAGTGGTGGTTTAAGATTGATCGGCTGATGATCTTAATTAAAACTCAACAAACTCCGCAACCCTATACTGTTGTGGTTTTGCCTAAAAAGCCTGGACAATTCTTGACGCGACAAATCTGTGCTTTGGCGATTGTGTTCACTGGTTTTGGTCTTTTCCCGAATCTTACCTCGACTTCGGGGAAGAATACAAATTTCCCCCAACGTTGGAAGGTATGGATAAACAC